GTGCCTCCGCTGCCTCGGATACGTCCCGTGTTTCTTCTCAGGATATGGAGTTTCGGTTTGAGGGTTTAGGGGGTGAGTCGAAATTCTGGCACACCCAAAGCCTTCACTTTTACGTGAACTCTCAACCCTAATTCAGGCCCGAAGCAGGACGAGGAGTTGCCCAAGCCTCCCCCCTCCCCCGTCCCCCCTCCCAACCAACACCAGCCCGAAGTTAGAGGCTCTAGACTTCGCTTTTTTGAGTTTTCAAGGGCTCAAGGTTTAGGACCTGGGGTCTGGGACGTCACCGTCGTATCTTCGGGTTCACCGTTCTCGCGAGAACAGGGTTGAGGGTCTAGGGGCAGATCAGCAAGAAATCTGAACCGACTACTTGCTCGGCCACTAAGACTAAGATCCTCAAGCCCCAGCCCATATGAAGTGAGATCGTTACTCAAAAGCAATAAGACATCACCTCATGTAAGGTGTAGCAGACCTCAATCCCCTAAACCCTAGACCCCAAACCCTAAAACCCAAACCCGAAACCCAGACCCCAAAACCCTAAACCCTAAACCCTAAATCCTAAACCCCAAACCCTAAGCCGCGTGTGGACCCAGGGCTGCCATGTAACGGTTTACTGGGCGCCAGTGGCTTCGCATGGCCTGCTGATCAGATGGAGACGCTAGACCCAAGGGTTTAGGGTTTAGGGTTTAGGGTTTAGGGTTTAGGGTTTAGGGTTCCAAGAGTAGCCGAATGAAAAGGGTTTTGGGTTCAGGGTTTAGGCCAGGGTGACCCAAGAGTAGCCTAGGAAAAAAAGGATGCCCTTTTCGTTTAGAGGGGCTTAGAATGGACCCTAAACCCTAAAAACAAAGGAATGAAGGGCCTACTCCGGGTGCTAGTTTCAGAAAATAACGTTTCAGGGTTGGATGTTTGGGGCTCTTGGGGGTTCAAAGTTTAGGCTTCTGAGGGTTTAAACTTTAGGGTTTAGGGTTTAGGGTTTATGTAGGGTTTACAGTTCTGTTTGTTTTTTGGGGTAGTGGCCTTTTGCTGCAGCACCCACCAGGGTTTAGGGTTCAGGGTTCAGGGTTCAGCGTAGGGGTTAGGGGCAGCCCTTTCTGGGGCGGTTCCTAAGTCCTGTGAGAAGGATTATCGTATTTCGGTGTATTCGGGCGACAGAAATGCCCAAGAGGAGCTTCGTTGACCTACGCCCTTACTTTCAATTGCTTTCTCGTGGCCACCAAGTTTGTGTGTAGGCCGAGGGGACAAACAGGTAAGCCAACAAAGGAAGTGCAAGCAAGGCTTCGGAAGCGCGGCAACCGGAGCCGGCCAGTTTCCGCCCCGGGCTGAGCCCGGACCGAATACTCAAAGGGAGTCAAAGGGCTTTGGGTTTGGGGTCTTGGGCTGTTTCCAGATTCGTTCCGGGTCCCACACTAGAGAATGTTGGAGGAAGCGTAGGGTTCCCGACACCATCCGCACACAAGCCCCCTTCTCCCCCTTAAGAGCGAATGCTGGCAAGACGAGTCCCTGAACCACGGCAGCCCCTAGCCCAAACTCGAACCTATACCCCAAACCCTAAACCCTAAAGCCCAGAACACTATGCGGCCTTCCTGAGTTTCTGTCTACAAGGGGCTTGGGCCCCTTGAGCGCAGCACCCTGTAAAGATGCCTCTGTAAGTCCCAAGATGTTCAGCCTGACCACCTCTTAAACGGACGACGTAAACAGAAAACAGCACCTCGAGACATTCGGAAGGGGGTGGGGAGGGAAGGGATGGGGGCTGAGGTAAGGTGGTAGACCCTCAAACCCTAAAACCCTAAAACACTACAATCCTAAAACCCTAAAAACCCCAAAAGCCCTAAAAACCCTAAATCCCTACTATACCTCTCACGAATCCCTAACCGGCTTGAGGGTGCTGAAGACATCCTAGGCCTGGGCTTACAAGAACAGTCCAGGGGTTCAGGGATTGGGGTTTAGGGCTTAGTGCCATTCGTAATTTACTTGAGATATCATGTGGGTGGTTGTCAAAATCATGATGCCTTTTGGGGTACCCTAAATATTAGGTGCCGTAATAGGGATCCAAAAAGGGACCATTATTTTGACAACCACCCATGAAGAACTGAATCAGTCCTCCGAACCCCCTTGTTTGTTGTTCATGTTTGTTGGTCATGGTCCTTGTTCTTATCACTGCAACAAGCAAAGTTTGTATGCTGGGATAGAAACAAGCTGTTGTGCCTTCATTCCGCTTTTGGACTTCGTGTTTGAGGTTTGAGCAACCACTCGCAAGAACATGGTTTGTACCAGCTTCTGCTGCGCAGAGGTGAAGGTTGCAGGAAGCTTGCATAGGGCGAGGATTTGGGATACCGGGTCCTGCTTCTTTGCCCTGTTTGGCGTTTCGTGGTCCAAGCGAGCTTCATAGCCAAATCTGCCTGGAAAGCCTTAGACCCTCAACCCACCTTTAATCCCTAAAAGCCCGAAACCGTGTACGCCCTAAACCCTAAGCCGTAACAAAAGTGGACTCCTAAACGTAATAAACCTCAGTCAATCCGAACTTTAAGCCCTAAACCCTGAACAACCCAAAATTTGTAGAGTCCTCTATATATGAGGGCTCTAGATCCCTAGGGCCTACCGTGCTTGCTGCCTCTGCGTACTGGTCCGCTGTCGTTGGTAGCTCTTTTCTGGGCACGTAGACCTCAAAGCACTTCGCAGTTTGAGTTCACGCCCGAGTTTGCAGGACTTATAGGGTGTAGTTATAGGGTTTGTAGAGGTCCTCTGGGTTTGTGGGGTTTAGGGTTTAGAGTTTATTTCGACCCACCCGGTGTAAAGTCGGCCCAACCCCTGTGGCACACAGCCAAACAAGGCAGAGGAAGGAAGTCACCCCAGGAGATGTAAAGTCGGCTCAGCAACAGCGAAACCCAGGGGCACACGGCTTTTGAGAGCTTTCGCGCCTTTTTACAAAAATAGCACCGGAGCTGTGCACAGTGGGTTGAGAAGCCTTAAAACAGCATTTGTAAGCGGTTTTGAATTGCGAAACTGCAGGGGCACATGGTTTTCTGACTGGGGAGAACTCGCGAGCGCATGCGGTGTGAAGGAAAATCCATTGTTTTGGGGAGGGGCATATTTGTGGCCCAGCCCGAGGGTCGCACGACCTTGCGTGAGGCCCGCGTGGGGTAAGGTAAGGCACTGGCCTTTTGGTATTAAGCACAATACCTGGGCCTGGAGGCCTCGGGACACTCTGGGGAGGCCCCTGGGAGGCACCTGCGTCTCTGAGGCCCCTTGCGAGGTTGTTGAGAGGCCTCTGCGTTAGGGTTCTGGTCAGCCCGCATTTGCACCCAAAACTTCCAAGACCATGTCCCACCCCAAACCCTCCCTTGAAGGCTCACGATGAAGGGGGTTGGAAATCTACGTCTTCAAACCTTGAGTCTTTTGAACTTCTGCTTCATGGTTTGTCGTCTTTCCCTAGTGGCACGCCCCGCACAAACCATCTGAGAACATAGCCCATGTGACATGGTATCGCGGTTTTTGCAGCGTTCCCCGAAAGGGCACACTGGGATTGGGACTTGCAATGGTTTCATGCATCGGAAGCTTCGGGGTTACAGCACAAACAACGATTCGGAAATTTTCCAAAACCATGTGCATGGTACTAGAAGACCGCAAAACTCTGGGTCTGATGAAATTATATGAGATATGTTGGGGATATGGGAAAGTAAGCCCAAACCCTGCGGCACATGGGCTTGGCACGACTTCACCCCGGCAGGGTCGACTTAAACCTACCACTAGTAAAAACTTCCCAAGCTCCTGATGCCCCATGCCTTTAGGTCTACGATGCAGCTTATCTAACCCTAGTTTTGTTTTGATTGTTTGGGGCCTAGATCGGTGGATGCATATGGGCAACAAACCCAAAGGGTTTTGGGGTTAGGCTGCAGGGTGCAGAAGTGTGAGTATGCAACAAAGTCGTGCAGCATGCAAGGCCAGCATTCAGCGCCCTAAGCCCATTCACCTTCAGGGTTTAGGGTTTAGGGCTTGCTAATTAATTATGGCTTAGGGCCTCAGAGCTTCAGATGGTCTAAGAGTTTGGTGGTTCATCCACCTTGAGGAGTCTACAACAGCCTTCCGAGACCCAGTGGCATCTCCAGCGACACCATCGCGGGAGGTTGCGCCGATGATGAAGGCTGCGGGGACAATGAGTCCTGATGCCACCCCCCCCCCCCCCCCCCCCCCCCACAAAAAGGGACGCTGCAGGCAATATGTAGAACCCTCAGGGTCCATGTACCTAAATAGGGAATACTTGGGCCTTAAAAAACTTCCTATATAGGGATTCTGGGGCCCAAGTATATAATGATAAGGTGTATGGACCCTTAGGGGAATACATTGGGGGCCACTCGGGGAAATGCTTGCAAACAGGGGATGGGTCTTCCAGGGTCCTGAATTTCCTTAGCCCCAGCCTCGGACTCATTGCATACAAAAAAAATTATAGGGTTTACATGTATACAGTTCAGGCGGGCTTACCGTTTATAATCGATCTGCATGGGCCACCCTATTCCACCATCTGTTGTGGATTTAGGGTTGCGGATGTACGGATTAGAGCTCAGGGTCTGTAGGAAGGGCCTAGGATTCGGCCCACTGATAAACCCGCGTTTGCTTATCGAGGTGGGGTTTGAGGCTACACCCTGTAGATTACAGGGGACTCAGGACTGTACGACAGTCTAGGTTTTACAGTAGCAGAAGAAGAAGGGTCATAACCCTAATGGAGGGAATAAGAGCACACCGGCCTCCAACCCGTTTTGGAGTCGCACAGCCAATAAGATCATCAGTTTGTGGGCTAGGGTTGATCTTGAAACTGGCTTACACCTAGAGAAAAAAACTCTTGAAACGGTGAAGTGGCACGGCGGAGGGGGAAGGCCAGCTACCGGCAAACATGTTGACAGCGCCCTCGCACACAAGCCAGCAGCCAAGCAACGCAGGAAGCATGCCGAGAATGTCCGCGAAGTATTGACTGCTCAAGAGGATGCTGTCAGGCTTCTGGGATCTGGTCACTTTGCAGACTCGAGTATGTCAAGGGCTCGGCCAATGCGTGCACTGAGCGTTGTTAAGCTGATGCCGGCAGCACGAAACTCAGCAAGGGCTCCACGAGCAGCAGCCAAACGTTCCGGTGAGCGCGTTCGCAGCTTTGTTGCAACGAGTTCTTGTAAAGTCCACTTCTCTTCTTTTGGTTTGCGGAGCACTGTCGTCAAGTACGTCTCAATGAAGGCCATATCGGCCTGGATGCTGCTTTCCTTCATTTGCTGGACCACAGCCTGCACTTTGCGCAAGCTTGCTTGCTTGTACGCACCGACGAGACAAGTATATGTAGCGATGTTGGGCTGTAAGCCCAAGTCGTCCAGTAAACGGAACAGAAACCCTGCTGCATTGTCATTCCTGCCAGAAGCTTCCCAGCAAGCACGGATGGCGGTAGTCACATGCCCAACATCTATTGGGACTCCAGTACGGTTCATTTCGTCTAGGACATCAGCTGCTGTCTTGACATCTCCCTCTCTTGCAGCAGCGACGATGCGTGCTCCTGCCAAGAACTCATCCAGCTCGCATGCCGTCCTAGATTCGTCCCAGATTTCCCTGACTACATCTGACTGGCCCAACTCTGCAAAGATCTTCATTGCAGTGGAATAGGTTGGTGCATCCTTAGATACCTTCTTCCTGCAGAGCTCGTCATACACTTTCGCCCCCTCCTTGAGTTGCCCGCAGTTGAGTGCATGATGTAACACAGCATGGAAGACAGGCAGCTCAGAACCACCATAACCAGCAAACAGACGGCGAATCTGTTGCCAATCTCCCCTTGCACCAGCTTCTGTCACTTTGGAAAGGAGGAGCTTCCCCGCTTTGCTGAGCAGTATCTTTCCGGTGTCCACCTGCACATGCTGTTGTATGCCGGCCTGCTCGCGAACAAGTCGCAGCGGACTTTGACCCTGTCTGCGCACTCCAAACCCACAGGGTTGCTGCCGTAGCGCGCCCAAGTACAACACAGCAAGTGCAGCTGCGAATCCTCGATGGCGGCACCTGAGCTTGTCCCAAGCAAGCCATGGCGCCATGACCACGGAAGTGCCTGTTGTGAACATCCACATGATTTACCTGCACTTCCTACGGCTGCGTCCGTGACCATGGAGGCGTGAATTAACTAATCAGAGTGATCCAAGGTACAGGTCAGCGAGCCGCATGGCATGCATTGACTGCAACCCTTAGGCTTCTAAACCCTAAACCCTAACCCCGAAACCCTAAACCCTTTAGGGTGCAGGGCTTAGAGTGAGGATTGACCTGCCTGCTTTGAGGCGCTTGGCGATGGGCTCCGGCGCAATCCAGCCATCGAGCCAGTAGCCTTCATCATGACTTTTGGACTTAGCGTTTAGGGTTTGGGGTTTCGGGTTTTAGGGTTTGGTGTTCGGTGTTCAGATGGACTCCCTGATTCCTAAGCCTTAAGGTCTCAAGCCTTTGGCCTTGACTTGTATTGCAGGGCAGAGGTTTGGGGTGGCGTGGCGGGCGTTGAGGGTTTCAGAGAGCTCGGGCTCATCACTTTCAGGGCTGCCAGGTATGTCTTGTAGGTGCTCTTGATTGGCATAAACCTGACGCAACTTGACGTGGTGCTAAAGTTAATGCTTGCTGGCTTCTTGTTTAGGATGTAGAGTCACTACGGATTGTAGACGTACATGTCTATACATATATATATATATAGTTGCTTAGGACTTAGGGTGAATCAAATGGCGCTTGGGCCCTAAACCCTACCATCCTCAACCCTAAGCCCTGAAAGGGTTTGCCCAAATGTCCCTGCCTGGAAACTCGATGTCGTACTGGTCCTCCGAGGAGAGGGGAAAAACCCACGTTGCTTGCACCCGCCGCGTAATTTAGAGGCCCTTTGCTACAGCAAGGGTTAGGTACACAGGGTTTGGGGTTTACTTGCCTGCAGGTAAACCCTAAACCCTAAATACCCTAATTAAATCATAAAAAACAAACCCGAAATCCTAAACCCTAAACCCTATTATAAACCCTACATCCCTCACAAAGGGCCTAGGGGCACCTTCTTGGCTCCTGGCCACCGGATGGTAACCTGGTTCAAAGCTGCATTCTTCAAGTTTTCAAAAGTGTCGAAGAGCCGTGAAGCGGGAAGTCCCCAAACACCGCGCAAACCCTGAACCCTAACCCTAAACCCTAAACCCTAAACCCTAAAAACCCTAAACCCTAAACTGTCTAGGACTTGATTCCTGGCGAGACCAGGGGTGCTGGATAGTTGCGACTTTCAAGTTGAGGAGGCTTCAGTGCTTGGAAGATCCCTCACCCCAAGCTACCCAAAGGCTCCTCTGTAGTACCTTTTTGTAGTAGTATACTAGAATCCCCTATACCTGACACAAAACGGATCTACATGGGAGCCTTTGGGTTATGAGTAGAGAGTATGGGAGATCATCCTAAATGAGTTGCAAGTACCAAAAACTGAAGTGTAGAAAGGCCCTTGACCCTCCAGGATGCGGATGGGTAGGGTTTAGGGTTTAGGGTTTAGGGTTTAGGGTTTAGGGTTTAGGGTTCAGGGTTTAGGGTTTAGGGTTTAGGGTTTAGGGTTTAGGGTTTAGGGTCTAGGGCTAAGGGCTTAGTGGTTAGGGACTAGGGCTTAGGGCTTTGCAAACTATTCGCTAAAATGCAGGTTCCTGCCAGACAGCAAGTGGTCACAAGAGCATTGCGCTAGCGACACTGAAAGGAAGCCAACATACCTAACTCCCCCCCCCCCCCTCCTGAACTCCTAAACCCAGAGACCGATAACCCTAAACCCTAAACCCTAAACCCTAAACCCCAAACCCTAAACCCGAAACCCTAAACCCTAAACCCTAAACCTACAGTCCTGCCCCTGGCCCCAAAGAAGCTGCCAGGGAGGCACCCTGCAACGCGACCAGGGAAGAACGGGGTTACTTGGACACATCATGGGTGTTTTTAGCCCCAACCTACTAGACCCAAGAGTAACCTAAAACTAGAAAGGGTGCCTTTTTTGGTTTAGAGATAAGGGCCTGGTGCTAGACTATCACTGCACTTCGAAGCCCCCCTGATCCCCCCTAAGCGGTCATGAGGTCCATCACTGTACTTACAAGCCCCCCCCCAAAATCCCCTGAAGCAGGATAAAAGTCTAAGATTGTGGTTGAAAGTCCAAGTAGGGGCTTTCGCAAGGGCTTTAAAGTAAAGCTGAGGAGCCCAACTGTCCAACGTTCGAGGATCCCCAACAGGTTCGACGAACCTCTTCGAAGTGTTTGGGGAGGGGGGGGGGGGGGGGGGGGGGGGCGTTTCGACATGGTCACTTCCCTAAAACATGGCCCCTTTTGGGGTCCGTATTACAAGGCGGCACCGATTGTTCAGGGCACCAAAACAGGGACCATCATTTAGAGAACTGAGCATATAGGCTGCGGCAAAACTCAGATGAAATGTCTTATCTGGTTTGACAAACGATGAAAGACAGATCCATGAAGTGTTTGTTGTTTCTGTCAAAGTCGGCCCGAATTTGGCAGCCTGATGCCCGTATATATGAATATAAATGTATATATATATATATACACAGAAATATGCCACAGCAAACTAAAAAGAAACAACAACAAACAACATGTTCATAGAATGCCCCTGGAAGGCATGTTCTGTGAACATGTTGTTGTTTTTCTGACCTTATGAACCCTAAACCCCAAACCCTTAAGCCCAAACCCTGAACCCTAAACCTAAACCCGAAATCCTACACCCTAAACCCTAACCAGGTGCCCGCGCGTCCGGAGCGCTGCCGGCGAAGTACCGTTGGGCAGTGAGGCAAGGAGCCGTGCCCGCACGGCCTCGCCTCTTTTGTTTCGAGCTGAGGGGCTTTGGGCCCCCGATTTGATAAACCCTAAACCCTAGACCTTAAACTCCCTAAACCCTAAACCCTAGACCCTAAACCCTAGACCCTAAACTCCCTAAACCCTAAACCCTAAACTCTGAGTAGTTTTGGGACGTGGCTCTTGGGGTATCAAGGCGTTTGGATTCTCAGGGTTTTGAGGGAGGTAGGGACTCCTGAAGCTTCATGTTGAAATTTGAGCGCTGCTGAACGGTTCGGGGTTTAGGGGCTGAGGGCGGTTGGGGTGTTTCGGGGTTCGGGAATTAAGGGGTTTAGGGTTTAGGGGTTTAGGGTTTAGGGTTTAAGGTTTAGGGTTTAGGGCTTTGGGGTTTTATGGTATTGCGTTTGGGAGGAGTTGGGGGCGCACAGGACTCCATTTCTGACTGCCGCGCGATGTAGACACGCGGCTGTGCCGTCTCTCAAGCCCAAAGGGTCCTACAAGTGCCTACATAGTACAAAGTAGGACTTCTATAATGGGCATTACTGTTGTGGTTTGGGTAACTGTCCTAAGTACCTACATAGTACAAAGTAGGGGTTTCTTTAATGGGCATTACTATTATGGTTTGGGCAAGTGTCCCCCACAAAGGTCCGCAGGACCCTTTTGGGAAGCCTTCTTCGGCAAACCCTAAACCCTAAACCCTAAACCCTAAACCCTAAACCCTAAACCCTACTTCGGCTAGAGGACTTGGAGATAAAGAGAGGTCGTGGCTCATCATGTCATGGCTCGGGCGGATCGATCATGCGCGAATCACGACGCTCAGCTGGCTGTTTAGGGTTTTTAGGGTTTTAGGGTTTTAGGGTTTTAGGGTTTTAGGGTTTTAGGGTTTTAGGGTTTTAGGGTTTTAGGGTTTGAGGGTTTTAGGGTTTTAGGAAAGTTTTAGGGCTTTAGGGATTTAGGGTTTTAGGGTTTTTAGGTCTTAGGATTTTAGGGTTTTAGGGTTTAGGGTCAAGCTTCGATGATTCTAGCATGATCGCATCCACTTCAAAGGACAGCAAGGATGAGCGTGAATGCCAGCCACCAATATCCCAGTCCCCACATGATGCTTTCTCATAAACAGCATTGCCGGACAGAGGCTCACTGCAAAGCAGTGCTTGATCAATATCAGGTACTGCGCAGATCTTGCTACCTTGGCTGCACTGAGAAGGGTATCTATAAATTTAAGAATTAGCTGCCTTGTTAAGAAAGCCAACAATCCTAAAGTTACAGTAAAGCACCACAGAGTTACTGTAGAACATGAGGCACAATACTCTAGATGGCCTCATGTAGGGTGAGGAAGCTCTCGAAGACGAAGCTGAGTCGCCGTGGTACTGGAAACACCCTACACCCGAACGGGTGGTTGGAAGGAAAGCCCTTCGGAAACATGTAACTTTGAATGTGTTGTGTGTAGCATCATGCGACAGCTGAGGAAGAGCAGCACTCTTCCAGCCTACGTCCGGCAAGCACGTCGGCTGAGCCCACGATAAAATTGGAGCAGGTGCAATCGTGAGACATCTCACGAGGGCATGCACTTGCTTCTTGAAATGAGAGGTGCTACCCGTGGAGACCCCCTTCGGGGCCTTACTATGTCAACACACATGTATGCATATGCATGCGTACATGCAAACACGTATGTAGAATGTGTATATGCAGGTACACGTGTATATGGTGCAAATGCAGAATGCGTAGGTTGGTACAGGTGGTCGGCTTTCAGGATTTATGTGTTAGCTATGAAATATTAGGTATACAGCACTATAGGCCCTAGGAAGAGGTAGCATTCGATATGGGCAAGATACATTTTGTAGCATTCGATATGGGCAAGATACATTTTGTATCTACACAAACACATTTTTTCACAGCCCCGCAGAGACAGATGCACGTAAACACATAGATAATGAAGCCAGGGTACCTGTACATATGTATGCATACATGACAATACGTACACACGTACATAGATACACACTGATGCAGGTATTGTGTGAATTTGTGTCATTGCCACTAACATCAATTGTGCTATTGTTATGGTCAGCAGTATTGCCATAATCACTGCTATTGTTGATATATGCGTGACTGCATGTGTTTTGGTTATTCTTCTTATCCTGTTGCAACTACATGTGTATGTCTGCATTCATGCAAGCACATAACGTGCGTAATCTGTATGTATGGCGGCTCATGAGTGAATCCGCACGGGCAGCCATTCCCAAGGAAATCTGCAAACTGGTGGAAAGAAGTAGTGCCCAGCCATGGGAGATGGTACGCTAAGGGTCTACGTACCTTATCATAAAATACTTGAGCCCCCAAAGTCCCCATAAACGAAGTACTTTAAGGCACAAGTAATCCCTGTTTAGGTACATGGACTCTAAACCCTAAACCCTAAACCCTAAACCCTATTTAGCTACATTGGCCCTTGAAGGTATGAGCGTGGGATGCCTAGGTTCCCACTAAGCCAACTCAAAGTCATCGCAGAATGCTACGACCCCATGTAGTAGTCTTTGGGTTTAGGGTTTAGGGTTTAGGGTTTAGGGTTTAGGGTTTAGGGTTTAGGGTTTAGGGTTTAGGGTTTAGGGTTTAGGGTTTAGGGTTTAGGGTTTAGGGTTGAGAAACCTAAACATACGGTTTACATGAGTATAGCCCTGTCAATGGCGTGACGATCATGTTGACGACCATGTGCTTACAGCGGTGTCGGTAGTGAGCCCCAGGTACTGGCGGGCTGGTGCCCAGTCCACTGAGCTTCAATCTCATTAAGGTGGCTCATGCACTGAGTGTTAGGGTTTAGGGTTTAGGGTCTAGCGTTTAGGGTCTACGGCTTAGGGACGCAAGCTGTACGCTCATACCTGACAGCCTTCGTACCGTACCTTCCAGATCCTTTAAGCCTCCACACTGCGCGCTGAAGCGTCTAGCCGTGATGCAATCTTGGAAGCTGGGAATTGAGCAGCACCAGCTCCCGTGCAGGCTGCACTGCATGCACTACTTGGAGGTCATAACCCACTTATAAGTCTACTTATAACTTATAACCTACTTAGGGGAACAGGAATCAGGGGGCTTATCAGTGTACAGTTATAATTGGGGTTATAAGTGCCCATGAACCTCCAAGTAGACCATTAGAACAGTAGTTTGCATGAGAACTAATGTCGTTCGAGTGGCACAATGGTCACGGGCTGACAGTGGTCCGGCTCATAAAAGCAACAGCCCCTTTGAAAAAAAAGTGCGGGGAGGCTCTAGCAGGTACTCACATTGTCTGCCGGTGACTCGAGATAATGTCACTGAAGGCATCTGGGGCGACCTCGATCTCTTTTCTGAAGAGGTCCATGAGTTTGAGGTGCCTCTCATGCGAAATCCGGTTCGGCGGGCGGGGGACATCCCTTGGAATGTCTTGGGCCCAGGTTGCAGAGTCCCAAGACGACTCGACAGCTGGCTGTGGCGTGTGCTGTGGCTTCGGGAGCTTTGGGCCATGCCTAGCCAACTCTGCCAACTTCATCTTCATCGACACCTTCATCGCCATCTGATCCGTATCACCTGGTCTCTGGATCTGGGCCTTGCTCTCATAATAAGGGGGCACCCCTTTTTGGGGGGGTTGGTGACTTTATCAAGGGAACCTTGAACCAAAAAAAAGAAAGGGTAGAAGGTACCACTGGGCTACCAAGGGACGTTGTGAGGATGGGTGGGGATCCCTGCCGCGCATCCCATGGCTCCAAAAAAATGCAGCGATACAGTTCAGCTGTCGCCGCCTTGAGTCCTTGAGCCTTATTGGTCAGTCAAGCGATATCCGAGGTCTCCTTCTGCAGCTAGAGTACACTACATGAGCAATAAGAACAGAAACATACATCATACGGTACTTACAAAAAGATGCATATATATATATATGCATATAACTCTATATGTATATACATATATATATATATTTTTTCCTACATATGTGCATCCTAAACCCTGAAACCTAAACCCTAAACCCTCAAGCCCCTGTAACTTGAAACTATTCAAAAATCCAAAAAACAAAACTCCTCAAAACTGTCGTCGAAACTTTCCCCGGACCTGAACCCTGAACAAATTTCAATAAACCTTAAAACCAAAAACCCTAAACCCGAACAGGCCTTCGGCGAAGGAGCCGGGCCCCCAGGGTCCGAGGCAGGCTCCAGACTCGAGGATGGCGCGGTGGAATAGCCCTTGAGCGGTTTTTTGTTTAGTTTAGGGTTTAGGGTTTAGGGTTTAGGGTTTGGGGTTTGGGGTTTGGGGTTTGGGGTTTGGGGTTTGGGGTTTGGGGTTTGGGGTTTGGGGTTTGGGGCTTGGGGCTTGGGGTTTGGGGTTTGGGGTGTAGGGTTTAGGGTTTAGGGTCTAGGGTTTAGGGTCTAGGGTTTAGGGTTTAGGGTTTAGGGTTTAGCGTTTTGGGTTTAGGGTTTAGGGTTTAGGGCTAGAGTTTCGAGTTGTTTGGAGTCTTCGAGCTCGGGGCTTGGGGGGTTTAGGGTTTTGAGCTTCTGGAGTTTTGGGTTGCTGTTTTTTTGGGTTTCGGGTTCCGGGTCTAGGCACTATTTTGGGGCTTTTCAGGGCATTTAGGGCGCTTAGGGCTTTGCGGGCCTTTGGGGTCCATATAAGTTCCACACAGCCTATAGGGCGTTCAAGCGTGAGTTTGTAGGGCAGAAGAGGTTTATAGGGGCTTTAGGATTTGAGGTTAAGTGAACAAGCCGTCTATGTGATGCAGGGCTTAGGGTTAGGGCTTTGGGCTTTGGGGTTCTACGGAATCTTTAGGACTTTAGGGCGTTCTGATCAGGCTCTACAGGCTATGCACCAGGTTTTTGGGGTTTAGGGCTTCCAGGGCGACTATGTGAAAAGACTCGCCATTCTTGTGGCTGGCCACATTGCGAGGTCTCTTACACCTTGGGGCATGATCCACGGTAGGCTTTACCTGGGACTCTGTTTACCTACAGTTTAGTAGTAACTGCACCTGAATGAGTAGGTCTAACCCATGAATCATGAAACTGTAGGTAAAGAGAGTCCTTAGAGTTGAGGCTATAGCAGTTTGAAAGCGAATGTGGAGAATGCTGGAAGGATGTGTCTCCCTCTCTAAGACTCTTTGAGCGCTTCCACACGCACACTCATATGTATATATATATATACATATCTATATGTCTACATATATATATATATATGTATGTATGACCATGGCCATGTTTGCGATACCCCTAAACCCCAAGCCCGAACCCCTAAACCCTATACCTCGGTAGACACAGACTGTTGTTCCTAGCTTGCATTCCAGGTCTCAAGACATCCCTTGACATACAGTTCATAACGCAACCCTTGAAGCCTCTTCTCAACATAACCTGCTTGGAGATTCATATATGGGTACTTGTAACCCCAACTGTAAGTCTACTTAAGCAAATTATAGGGGGCTTGTAAGTACAGTTATAATTGGGGTTATACGTACCCACGAACCTCCAAGTGGTTCTCACAAAAACCATGAACCCTTGCTCTCAATATAACTCTGGAAACCCTGCTTCAACATAGCGTGTAAACGCCGCTGTGGGAAAGTTTTAGTTGAAGGCCCCTAAAACCTAAACCCAAACCCTAAACCTTAAACCCGAAAATTGACGCCTGACCCCGGCTGGCGTCCTTGCGTCAGCGGCGAGACAGAAAGCGTGCAGACGGAGAGGCCCCCCGCAGATTCCCCGAATAAGGTCACCTGACATCATGGATGCGATCAGGGTGTAGGGTGTAGGGTTTGGGCGCTAGGGTTTAGGCACATTTACACGATAAACACATGCACAACTCGAAGATCTAAATCCTAATCGCCTGCAAACAATGAACCCCCCAAACCCTTAAGCCCATAATTCAAAACCCTAAACCCTAAACCCCAAACCCACGTGAGTTCCAGGATGCGGCAGGGTTCTCTAAGTCCCATACTGGGTGCTCAAAATGGAACCTCCACCCTAAACCCGAAACAACTGCCTATGTGGGATTCAAGAAGCTACAGGAAGATGTGGTCCTGCGGATGAGTTAGTTGAGCCGAAACCCTAAAACCCCTGAAAGCCCTGAACGCCCAACAAACGCTAAGATCCGAAAAACCCTATAAACCCAAAAACCCTATAAGCACTGAACTCTACACTCTGAACCCTTATTTTGAGTTGGGAGTCCAAAATCCTGCAAAAGTCGGGGCGCGACCGGGTGGTCGGCTTTAGGACACTAAGCCCCACAGCCTAAACCCTACCAGCACTCCCCCCAACTATACCCTTTAACCAAAAAATAGTAGGGTATACAAGCCCCGCCCCCTTACAAAGGGTGCGATAATTGCCAAGCGGATTCCCTTATGGTCCCCTCAGAATTCGACAATGATCACCCCCCCAAAACACTGTTCTGGATATTCAGGCCCCTATATTAGTTGGGGGTGCAGGTAAACCCTGAACCAAAGACCAGAAACCCCGACCATTGCGGACCTTGTCTGGATCCCCGCCGAAGCTGGCAATGTGGGCCTGCCTGGCTCTATAACCACCCAACCCACCCTAAACCCAGGACCACATTCAGTTGTCCAGCTTAAGCTGTTAAAGGACTTCGTGTTTAGGCTTTAGGGCTTAGGGCTTAGGACTTAGCCTTAGGGTTAGGGTTTAGGGTTCAGGGTTCAGGGTTCAGGGTTCAGGGTTCAGGGTTTAGGGTTTAGGGTTTAGGGTTTAGGGTTTAGCGTTTAGGGCCGTAGAAACGTTTTGGGCCTCATCAGCACCTTTGCCATGGTCTGGGAGGTGCTTTGAGACCGTTTAGGGTTTAGGGTTTAGGGTTTAGGGTTTAAGGTTTAGGGTTTAGGGTTTAGGGTTTAGGGAGCTGCGGGAGCCTATTCTACTATGTAGTACATAGACTATGTAGGGTCTACATTCGGCATCCCAAACTTCCATAAACTTCCATATTCCCACATTTCTCGCCATGGAAAAATACCACTCAAGGCCTACTTCATAGTAACCCTAATTTAGGGTTAGGGCTTCGCAAACCCTAACCCCCTATGCGGAGCTGCAATTGGTATTGTAGAAAGGAGTTAGTGTTGGAAGTTGGAAGGGTTAATGAACCCGGTAATCGTATTTGGCTCAAGATGGGCTTGAACAGAAAGCCACAAGTTCAAAAAGAAGTGCCTGGGTTCTTAGGGTTTGGTAAGGGTGTGGATTCCTTTCCCCTTTCCTTCCCCCCTGGGTTGCTCTTATCCGTGTTCTTGGTTGTTTCTTGGTTCGATCTGGGAAATATAAGTTCAGGGCGATTAGGGGAGTTGATTTCCTTCCTTGGTTGTCCCCCCGTAGGTTATGAGCCTCCCTGCGGTTAAGTGTTCTTTCAAGGTTTTTGGGATCAAGAAGCAATGCCTTCCCCGAAGCGATGGCTCCAACTTGCCTCGGATGGTGGACAAGATGGTGGAGCTGGAAATGGTGCAGCTGAGTCTCTGGGTGAAAGATCGGTGTTGGAAGAGGTGATTCCCGACGCTGAAGTACATCTGGAAGAGGCCTTAGTTGCAGAAAGCCCCAATGCGGGTATGAATCCCAATAGGGATATGGTTAGCAATGCTGAAGCTGAAGGACGTGCTGTTTCTGTACCGCCAAAGCCTGGTGAAAAAAGGAACTGGGATGCGACTGGTGGCATAGATCGTGAAATGGAGGTGACTGTTTTACGAGTGTTACACAAACACGGGTACCAGCCGTCGTCTTCGACTTCGGGTCGAATGGTAGACCAAGAGTCTCAGACCGATCTGATTGGAGAAGTGCTACAAGCGACCAGGAGGCCGTTGAAAAAAAAAAAAAAGGGTCCATCTTCGAGTTCCCAAGGTGGTGGAAGCGGTCACAAACAGAAGGGTGCGGACGGCTTTGAAGCTGCACCTGCTGCTGAATACGCCATGGGGGAGAAGGAGATCCTACAGATGGAGGCTGAACGGTTGCGACAGCTGTCAGAAGAAGAGGACGAGATGCGACAGGTTTCTGAAAGGGACGGTTTTCGGAAAGACGAGCATCTGATCCAAGTGTGATGGCACAATGTGGGAATTGCACCTCCATGAAGATGGGAGACAATATTATTACTGCCTGGATACGCACGAAACCAAGTGGACATTGCCGGTGGTAGGTGAAAAGGTGAAGAGTGACGAGGTGGTTGGGTCTCCTTTGGGCAATGAGCTGGAAATGGAGGCAGCACTGGATTCTTCATCCTCTACTCCGAAGACTGAGTCTACGAGGGCATTCCAGGGTAGTGTAAATAGTTTAGGTGAAAAAGATTTTTCCTCTACTATCAGGGATAGCGGTCCTAGGGCTGATGGTGACGCCCCGACCTCGGGTTCTCCTGATGAGGAAGGGATTCCTGGGAACCAAGCCAACATCGCTGGAGCTCAACACCTGGATCGGGAAGAAACAGAAGCGCTTTCTGAGGGTGGGGCAGCGATGGAATTGGTGGATCCAGAAGAGAAAATGCCCAATGAGGTGATCGGAACTGTGTCGGCTGCAGAAGAGCGAGTGGTGGATGTGGTACCTGTTGTTCAGGAAGGTGGTCCTGGAGATTCGGAGGATGGAGAGAAAAAGTTGTGTGTTACGACTGAGGAGGTCTCTTCGTTTGGTGCCAAGAATTCTGCCATTCAAGGGGAAAAAGAAGCTTCTGGAATAGCTGGAGACACGGATGATCTGAAAAATGAGGCCTGGAGCGCCAATGATGCGCGGGTTGATGCGCCAGATATTACCTGGAGT